CCTGGTCTTCCATCTGGCTCCTCTGCTGCTCGACGTGGGCCCGAAGCTGCTCCACCTCTTCTGCCATAGCTGCAGGAGGTGGTGATGGTGGCTGGATAACGTGGTCAGGGCGGGGGGTTGTGGTCCTCTTGTCCTCCTCTACGTTCTCCTCTCGTGCAGTGCCTGACTGGTGGGGCAGCTGCTGCTTCTGCTGCTGCTGCTGCTGCTGCTGTTGCTGCTGGTTGGAGCTGTTGGTGTTGGCTTGGCTGACACATGGTTCCTGAAAGAATAAGCACGGTGTAATAACTAGTTGTTGAGACACTCCATCATTGATATCAGTACCATAAGTAATCTAACGATTGATGTCACACACTACTTACATCCCCACAAGTGACAGTCATACTGGCTGTTTACTTGACAAGTAAACCACAGAAAAATAGTAGATTTTAAATCATTAGTGCAATTATAAAACTTGATTTTTTTTTTACAATGGTATTTTCCCAGTGTTAATTTTCACAAGCGGTTGAATACCTATCTTCCTGCCCCCAACAACGCCCCCCCCCCTTTACCCCAGTTTCCCCCCACCTCACCTCACCCCTTCCCTTCCCCACCCCCCCCCCCAAACACCGACCAAACCTAACCTTCTCGCGGGGGCGGACATCCTTGCATGAGGCTACTTCCTTATGTTTCTTGCCCGTCGCGCCAGACCCTCCGCCGCGAGTCTGTAAGTAAATAAATAATATAAATAGGCAATATAAACAAAATTAGATCCCCCCAAATTAGATCCCCCCAAATTAGATCCCCCCAAATTAGATCCCCCCAATTAGAAACATGTCACATGAAGAAAGATTAACAAAGCTTAAATTACATTCTCTAGAAAGGCGAAGAATTATGGGTGACTTGATAGAGGTGTACAAGTGGATGAATGGACACAACAAAGGGGGATATTAATAGGGGGTATTAAAAGTATCAACACAAGACAGAACACGAAATAATAGGTATAAATTGGATAAGTTTAGATTTAGCAAAACTGCTAAAACTGCTACGACTGCTATTGGTTGTGCAAGGATTGGCTGGGGTTGTATGTTCCTTGGGGTTGTATAGCCATTCTTACAAGGTTTCTGATTGTCTAACGATGCGTGTGTTTGCCTGGTTGGCATCTGATCTAAGACTTCAGATTGGCCCAAAACTGGTCAGTTGCCGCCCTTGTTCTGATGGTGGTTCCAGCCGGGCTGTAAATACACCTTCTGGAGGGTAATTAGGTCAGTGGCAGACCAGCGAGGGAGGCTGTGATTGGTGGAGAGTAACCGCTAACAACCTAACCCACTCTTACTAAACTCTTGAGACTTATTAAGTGACTCACGCTCGCTTTCCCTCCTCCTCCTCCCTACCTGGTGAAGGCTTATGTATACCCGAAGTATACATGAAGCGCATACACACACTCAAAATTTACTATGTATACTTTGCACAATTATAACACACTGAAGGCTGGTTCTAGATATGAACACTGAAATAGTTCTTTTCCAGACTAGAAGGCACGGCGGTCGGCCGAGCGGACAGCACGCTGGACTTGTGATCCTGTGGTCCTGGGTTCGATCCCAGGCGCCGGCGAGAAACAATGGGCAGAGTTTCTTTCGCCCTATGCTCCTGTTACCTAGCAGTAAAATAGGTACCTGGGAGTTAGTCAGCTGTAACAGTCTGCTTTCTGGGGGTGGAGGCCTGGTCGAGGACCGGGCCGCGGGGACACTAAAAAAAAAAAAAAAGCCCCGAAATCATCTCAAGATAACCTCAAGATTGTGAAAAATAACCCCCATTGACAAACCACCAATATTACAATAGTTCCCCCACTGATACATCGTATTCTGGTCGATTGGGCAATCAACACGACCTATCAAGTGAGAGGACAGGATGAACCGGCTTCGGTATAGTAACCTTCCGAAACCCTACACAAGGAAGCCTCTGGCGGCCGCGGCTTCCGGATGGTATCTGTGTCGGGTTGTGACTCAGACATTGGGCTCCGGCACAAGTGACCAAAGCACTCAAGTCACACACACACACACACACCTGTTATACAAACGTGACTGTGGATGAGGTATGTTTGTCTGTGTAAACAAACGCCACAGCAACGCCACACTGGTACCATTGAAGGTACCACTGGTACCTTCAACAATGGGTCATATATACACAATTGATTGTCTTGTGGGGGGGGGGAGCGCTACAGCACGCTGTGGGGTCCTCATATGTGACATCACGTCCACACACCTGGCTGGGGTTACAGCTCTGTCATGATGTATGTACACCTGACTGGTATTATAGACGTGCTGTAGTGACGTACACATACCTGGCTGGCATACAGGTGTAGTAAGGTGTGTGGCCCACTCTACAGGTGTAGTAAGGTGTGTGGCCCACTCTACAGGTGTAGTAAGGTGTGTGGCCCACTCTACAGGTGTAGTAAGGTGTGTGGCCCACTCTACAGGTGTAGTAAGGTGTGTGGCCCACTCTACAGGTGTAGTAAACCTTGCCCCAACGTCTTACAGTTTACCTTATAATACAAACACACAAATATGTTTAATACAAATCTTCATGCAATAATAAATTCAACCCAATCTCTGGATTGGCCACTCCGTAACAAATACAACTGTTCTCTATAACCAAACATATACTAACCCAAGCAACCCCCTTAACCTAACGAGGTCGATATATATACAAAAAATATCAATATTGTGTTATTTTAAGTAATGTGTCGAATAATTAAGAGATTGGGCGACTCCGTTACAAATGTGACGTATTAGGTTAAAAAGGTCGAGTTGTATACCTCAGGTGAGAAATACATGCTACTACTAGGTCGGTTGAGGCGGCGGGGCTGCGCCTAGAGTCCCTGTGATTAGGGGAAAGTGGTTCTGGGTACTTGCTGGTGATTAGGTCGGGTCGTTAGCGGCGCCTGTAGTGCTCACAACTTGGAGACGTGTGAGAGAGGAGTGAGAGAGTGAGGGTGAGAGATGAGAGAGAGGGGTGAGAGAGATGAGAGAGAGGGGTGAGAGAGAAAGGTGCTGACACACACTCAAGATAACCTCAAGACGTTGGTTGAAACGTTTGGAGATTGTTGAGCTGCCAATGACTACCAAGACCTTTGTCACCACACAAGTGAAAGCTTAAGTGATATCATGGTAGAAACACACACATACAGGGGCTAGCGGCTGAGTGGACAGCGCTCTGGACTCGTAATCCTAGGATCCGGGTTCGATCCCCGGTGATGGCAGAAACAAAATGGGCGGAGTTTCTTTCACTGCGATGCCCCCCCCCTGTTACCTAGCAGTAAACAGGTACCATGCAGCTGTTATGGGCTGCTTCCTGTGTGTTTGGTGGGGTGGGGGGGGTGGGGTGGGGGGTTAGTAGTAACAGTTGATTGATTGACAGTTGAGAGGTGGGTCGAAAGAGCAGAGCTCAACCCCGCAAGCACAACTAGGTGAATACACACACACACACACACACACTATGGAATGCATTAGGCAGTGATGTGGTGGAGGCTGACTCCATACACAGTTTCAAGTGTAGATATGATAGAGCCCGATAGGCTCAGGAATCTGTACACCTGTTGATTGACGGTTGAGAGGCGGGACCAAAGAGCCAGAGCTCAACCCCCGCAAACACAACTAGGTGAGTACACACACAAGGGAGCGAGGCCACACAATCATCTCACAACACATGGTAAACAATGCCTCCCCCCCCCTCCCCTAACTACCACCATCTAACATTCACTAACAGCTTCACAATCCATCACATGGTATACCCCCCCCCCCACTGTCACTCCCCTTGTCATTCATGCCTCACTGTATCTCTCACTGTCATTCCCTCCCCCCTTTTACATTCTCTAAATTTATTACCTCTTCCTCATCGTTCCTCCTCTCTTAACCCCCCCCCCCCACCTCCTGAATCACTCTGCCCCCCCCCTTTCTTTCTCGTTATGTCTCTGTCTCTTGATGCTGTCTCAGTCCTCTGTCTGTCTGTCTCCTCCGGCCACAAGTGCCACCACACACACACACACCTGGAGCAGCAGTATACATACATACATACATACATACATACATACATACATACATACATACATACATACATACATACATACATACAAGGGAAGGTTATCTTGAGATGATTTCGGGGACTTTTTTAGTGTCCCCGAGGCCCGGTCCTCGACCAGGCCTCCACCCCCAGGAAGCAGCCCGTGACAGCTGGCTAACTCCCAAGTACCTATTTTACTGCTAGGTAACAGGGGGCATAGGGTGAAAGAAACTCTGCCCATTGTTTCTCGCCTGGGGATCGAACCCAGGACCACAGGATCACAAGTCCAGCGTGCTGTCCGCTCGGCCGGCCGGGAAGCATAGCCTTCGTATACACCATGGTACACAGCCTCGTATACACCACTATACAGTACCTAAATACAACACCTTCACTCATATACAACTACAATGCCGGCCTCCGCCACGACAGGAAGTGACACTAGCTATCTGTTTGTTTGTTTGTGTTTGTTTGTGGCTGACCTGTGTTTATTTACTCATTAACCCAGCCGTAACCCCCCCCCCCCCCTATTTATGAATGAAATACACTTTACAAACAACCCGTTCTCAGGCCACGTTCACTACACGAATCCCCAACCTGTACACCAGTTGATTAACAGTTGAGAGGCGGGACCAAAGAGCCGAAGCTCAACCCCCGCAAGCACAACTAGGCGAGTCAGAAACCCCAGCAACCTCTGATGTACAATATGACGCCGGAGAGCAGGGGGGGGGGAATGGGGGGGAGGAATGGGGGGGGGAAGAGAAAGGGAACATAGGTAGCGGAAGAAAGAGCAAACTTAAGGGGAAGGTGTGAGGGAAAACTAGAGAGGGAAGGGGTTGGGTGAGGGGGGAAACTAGAGAGGGAAGGGGTTGGGTGAGGGGGAAACTAGAGAGGGAAGGGGTTGGGTGAGGGGGGAAGTAGAGAGGGAAGGGGTTGGGTGAGGGGAAACTAGAGAGGGAGGGGGTCTGGGTGAGGGATGGGACGGGGAGGAAGGATATAACAATCGATGAGGAATGTGTGGGTAACCTTGGGGCTCCACGGAGACCAACTAGAGGGGGAGGGGGGAGAGAGAGAGAGGTGTAAAGGAAGCTAGGTGGAGTGTGCAGGCAGCCATGGAAGGGGGTCCCGGTGAGGTCTATAGGGAGGGAGGGCTGAACAGGGAGCTGCCAGCGTAAAAACTCTAGAAACCTACTACAGGTAAAGCAGAGGTAAACCCCATGATCATGAGGAGCTAAGGAGCCGGGTGTGTGCCAGACATTTGGAGAGGGAACGCTGAGTAACCCGTCCGTCCGTCCGTCCGTGTCTCTCTCTCTCTCTCTCTCTCTCTCTCTCTCTGTCTCTCTGTGTCTCTCTGTCTCTCTCTGTCTCTCTCTCTCTCTCTCTCTCTACCCTCCAACACCTCCCTCACACACATCTCATCAAACACATAAGCAACCCTTTACGAAACCTGTACATCTTCCGTCAACAATGGCGGCTTTCTTTACATCTATTAAAACAAATGATGACCAACGGTCCGGCCGGAGGGTGTCTATAACAATCACCACCTGGGCTTGTGAAGTTCCGCAGATCGTAAGTTAGAACACGGCCGAGATGACCGGAAAGATGTACAGGTTTCGTAAGACGACTCGTAAATGCTTGAGGAATCCTAGACTAGAGTGAGCGAAAC